CTATCTCAGATTCGGGCTCTTTGGCCATGCGCAGTTTGCTGAGGATCTGACCGCGGATGGCCTCTATCCGTTTCTTCTTCACCACCTCCAGGTCCAGAGTTTTGCACGTGGACATACCTCCTGTTCTAGCCACCATGCACAGGGCCGTCACTACCAAACAAACCAACCTCATGGTGCCAAATCTGAGAGCAAACTGTCTTCAGGTACGGAGAGATAGGCTCACCAAGAGTCTGTGACTGATGCAGAGCGTTTGGATCAAACAGACACGGCAGTCTTGTTATTATGGAGGTGATGCTACCCGATGATGATTCTGGAAAGCACCTTGAATAATGAAGCCAACAGAACAGCTGATATCTGTCTAATAAGGGAAATTCCTGATACTTCACCTGTTTCAGAGGTCCATGCAGGTGCAGTTTGGCCAAATGGGGCAAGCACTCCCTCACATAAACAAGCTTTGAGGCACACAAAGACCATGCGATCGCTAGGCTACACCTGAACGCCACCACATGCACTTGTATATATGCGTCTAAGCATACATTTTTTTCCTTTCGGCACAGCTTTACCACCGGCTCACTGCTGGCAGAAACACACAGAAGTGCTTGTGTGAGTCCATGCGTCTGGACTGACTCTTTTTCTCTCCTCTAGTAATGGATAGTTCCCGCTGTGAAAACACGCAGAGGTCCAGATACAATGACACTTCTGTAAGCGTGTTTGCTCACTAACTTTCCTCTCTACTCACAGCTTCTCTGGTCTTGATGCTTCAGCAGATGTTTTGTCATCTCGCACAGAAACCTCTCAGAAGTCCTGACTAAACCAGACAACCCCATCCAGCTGCATCCTGCATTTGTGACAAGACAAAGGGACGTGTCCAGCTCAGATTTCCTCAAAAGTTTGCTTTTACAACATTAGGTTTCCTCTGTTGGTCAGACCGATTTTCCGGAAGCATTCAGACAATCAGATAACAGTACCGGTGACTTGCAGAGTTTGAAAGTTCTTCATTTCACATGCAAATCTTGTGTTAGTAAAACGAGTTGCTTCCAAAGCTCTGTAAACCAGCCGGAACTTGGTAAAGAGGTTTAATCAAGTCTGAATAACTCTAGAGCAGAGCGAAGTCTTCACAAGAGATCAGTCAAAATAAGTAACGGGGTTTTGTAGATGGCTTTTTAAGGGCTATAACCTCATTTTCTCTTAAGCTTTTCCCACTACAGAGACAAGTGGAAAGATCGACTGTCACGGCTAACCAAACACACTGCTTCCCCCCCAACCCCGACACAAACTCACACACATTTCACTGAGAGGAATTGAAAGGAAAACAGATCCTCTCGGAAAATACCCTGACGTTTTGGCCCCGGTGATGTAATGTGTCAGGAAAATCAAACTAACCACGTCCAACCCACGAGTCTCGAGTGACAGATTGAGTAAACAAAAAGAGCGAAACAAATGAACCGTCCATGAGTAGCCAGGCAGTAAACGCGTGAAGCGCAGCAGTGACAGCAAATGTCCTTTTTTCCTTCCCTGCCTTGCCTTTGTTCTCTTCTGTTTGTCCACTTTTATGCCTTTTGACCTCAGTCTGGAGTAAAGGAGTCCTTCTCTCTCGTACAGCACTCTTTTTATTAGCTCCCTCTTGTAACGCACTCCCTCTCCTCGCTTGTCAGAGCTTGCTGGTGACAAAGTGATTTGTGAGAGCTTTACATTGCAATAACTTCTCTCTCCCACTCAAGTTCACTCACTCGCCCTCCTTTCAGGTTGCCGTTGCTTCACTAGAGCCGAAAGCTCTCCGCCCAGGAAATGAGGCTAACAGACTCTTTGAAATCTGTTCCTCACACAGCACTTCTCTTATACTGGCCAGGAAGCCCTTAGCAGCTTCTGGAAGACACACACACAGAGTGAAAGGACAGACAGGTAAATAACATGGTCATAACACTAATGTCTGGCCAAACCAACCACACACCTTTTTAAATGACTGCCAATCTAAGATGATGACAGAATGCTCTCTGTTGCATAAACGCACTCCCAAACCGAACCTGACGAGCTGCACAACAGAGCACTGTTATCAAGGCCACATTTTATGTCATGCGGTGAGCTGATGTCCACTTTGCTGTTTATTTTCTGCCGTCTGTTTTGAATGTTTTTATGCAACTAAATAAAGGCTGAAATGTTAGACATATGCGATCCAAATACACAATTGGCTGGATTGAACAAGAATTAGGAGGGGGGGTTTTTTAAATAAAAAATGATTGTGATTTTAACAGTAAAAGACTGTAAAAATGCTACAGTAAAAACCTGTTAACTGGTTAACAGTAAGTTTCCATACTATATACGGATGACTTTACTGTGCCGAAAGAGCTAAACAGAATTATGTTTTAATAAATCAAGCTGCACAACGCACCTTAGCAATACTATAGCAACCAGTTATTTGCATGTTCTCAGATAATCTCACTGCCCTTGGAAAATACACTGAGTCAAAGGGAATCTACAATATAGTATACTGTGCTGGAAAATAATTCCATCATGCATTTTCACAAAGCAGTAAACATTCTGTAAAAGCACTGTTTATATAGTGCACTTCACGTATCAGCGTGCTTTTCATTTGGATTGGCTTGGTTTGTTTTAAATGTCAGTAGCACGTAAAATTAAACAAATCTCTATAATTCACATATGGTGTGTTTTCTGTGCTATCTCACATATTGTTCTTAACATACAGCAGATAAAGCTTCGATATGTCTCGGAAGCATCCGTTTTCATGTGTTTCTGGCGCCTTCTTGTGGACCAAATGAGAGCTACTTCTATTCTATTGCTATTAATCATCACCATTAACAGGCATGCACAGAGACAGTCTTTAGGATTCAGCATTTTAACCTCTTTAGAAAATATTAGATTTACTGCAAAATATTTTATACTTTTTCTTGGCATGTAGCAGGACTGCATCTTCTTTTCAGAAATACAGAATGAAAAAAAAACAAACAAAAAAAATACAGTAGCATCTTCTGTTTTCCAAACAATAAATCCCTCACTATAGCTTCTGTATCATATATCTGAATGTAATCCTTCAATCTTTCCTGAGGTTAACTGTGGGACAGGGTCAAACCCAGTCCAGCACCATTTGTGTTTGTGGGTACAGCCAACACCGACCTGCAAACTTTCTCACAAACTATAGCCAAGGAAACCAGGCTCCAAACCAGAGAGATCGCTTGCACCAGCACACACTTCTAGAGTCCACAAACTCAAACTGCGGTGTGAAGCCGAATACAGTAAACATGCAGTCTCAGAACCTGTGTGTGAATATTGTCATTCTCACGAAAGTGTCAAAGCTAGTGCTTACTGGAAGTGTCTTCAACTCTGGTACCCCTAGTGTTTATTTTATTTATTTAGCTATTAAAAAAAAAAAAAAAAGACCTTTAACCTATGATTAATTATTTGGTAGTTTTATAAATTCTATTTAATTAAAGGCTGTTGATAAAGAAACTAAATAACACAAATCAGAGTTAAACTGTATACAAAAATGTCTGAAATTGTGGTAAAAAGGCAAAACTTCATATAAAATGAATAGAAAATATAACAACTTATGTCATATTTAGTTTATGTCTTATGTCTCCTTTTTAGTGAACAAAATTTCAACAATTACAGTTAGAGAGCTCTTTACTGTAATCCAATTCTAGTAAGAATTCAATTGTAGAGCTATCTACTGTAATTAAATTGTTACTAGTAAAAATACAATTACAGAGAGTAAAGCTAGGAGAATTTTAAGCTAATTCGGCATGTTAATTCGAAATAGTAAGAGTAGTATGCTAGCATGCAGCATATGGCTGAATTTGTGTCGGAAAATCTGAACAGCTTTGAAACTTTGACAAAGGATAAAGCCTACATGAAATAATCTAGTTTTCCATGTAAACACTGACTCAAGACACAAGACTCAATTATATGGTGTGTGGGAAATAGTCCGTTTTTATTTATTACAATTACAAAGATGGTCACACTTTATGTTAGGTGAACTAACATGTTCTAACCTTAAAAACTGTCCTGCAGAGTTTAGCTCAAACATCAATAAAACACACCTTAAAGGGGTCATATTACGTTGCTAAAAAGAACATTATTTTGTGTATTTGGTGTAATGAAATGTGTTTATGAGGTTTAAGGTTCAAAAAACACATTATTTTCCACATACTGTACATTATTGTTTATACTCAATGCCCCGCCTTTCTGAAACACGTCGATTTTTACAAAGCTCATCGTTCTGAAAAGCGAGGTGTTGGATTTGAGACTTTAGTCTTTGCAACTTTACAGATCTTCTTTATGCACCAAGAGCTTGTAACACTCCAAAGAGAAAGGAAAAATTTAAATCGCATCATATGACCCCTTTAACCAGCAAATCAAGATCTTAATAGGCATACTAGAAACTTACAGGCAGGTGTGTTGAGACGAGTTGGAGCTAAGCTCTGCAGGACAGTTTGGACACCCCTGCTATAGACTATAGATTGACTGTGTGCAACCACATGTTTTGGGAAATTCACACATTTTCAGGTATGGCGTAAGGGCATGGTTAAGGTTAGAATTATTTGGAAAATATTAATACAAACAAACAAATAAATATGGATAGATAAATAAATTGTATCGCGCTTACAATATTGGTCCAAAGCGTTATTTATTTATTTATTTTTTCCTGAAATTGTCCCCGAACCAGCACCCCTGGGATTGAAACTTAAACACTAGTTGGAAAACTCCAATATAGAGGAGACAAGAAATGTAAATAAATGTAATGTAACGTTATATTATAGAGCCCCATTGCACAGAGCCTCGCAGAGGTGGAAGGGTTGTGTCACATTGCACAGCGATCACTTACACCGTCTCAGTGAGCTCAGAGCCCGACCCAGCCTGCCTATACGTCCAGGTGCTGCCAGTACTACTTCTCGTTTATTTCTTCACGCCGTCTGCGCGTAAAAACTCGTCTAAAATGACTCGCTGGAGAGAATAAATCGCCGCATGTCCAGTGAAGTTGCCATATGCCGTTCTACCGGGACGACGGCTTTATAGGATTCAGCTTTCTGGAAGACAATGCCTCAGGAAAGTGCAGGCACTGAACTGAAAGAACTGCGTGTTTGGAGCTCATGAGGAATATTTGCGACTGTAATAAACAGTGAAATGATGCTCACAGCCAATGAGGAAGTACTGTTATTCTTTAACATAGAGGAGATGAGAAAAGGTTTGGAATTGTAATTGACACGAGTCGTTCCTCAGGTAAGGTGACCGAGCAACGTATATTGTGTATTGTATTGTATTGCGATTTTTAATGGCTTTTAGGACTTAAGTCTAAAAAAAATATATATATAACAGTTCGCATATTTGATCAAAATTACCCATCATACTCGTTATCTATTCATTAAATAGGCAGGTTAAAAATAAATAAATGGATAAAAACAGCATTTTTGGGGGAAATATCTAAAGTTATTTTTAATTACCATACTAGTAATTGATTATGTTAGCTTTATGTTAATGTTATTTACATTAACTGGTTTTATTCAAGACAGGACAACTTAGCTTTGCTTTGGTTAACAGAAATTTCAGTGAAAATACTTATACCATATAAAGGCTGGTACTTGACATACAAATGCACTCCCTAGCAATATCTACAGTAGAATACTATTTTTTAAACATATCAAAGGATCAAAAAAAAAATCAAGGAAATTCAGTAGGTTTTTTTTAGGTATTTTGCCCCTATAGAAGCTTATCTTGTTTTTTTCCCTTCCCAATTTCTTTTCTTTCCTTTTCATTTTTTTTATTTTTTATTATTGAACATTTTATACTGGTGTGTTCTTTATGCAGTACTGAATTAAAATAGCTTCTTTTTAAGCTCTTTTTTAAAAAAACTTTTTTAAAAACTTTTTTTTGTTAGTGTCTATTCAATGCTTTTCTCATTCAACAGAATAATGATTTTATGATTTTAAATGATCTTTTGGGGGGTAATTTCTCTGACAAAATTAATGCAGAATTAATTTGTGATTACTTTGAATAATCAGCACGTCATGCAATTAGATTGAAAATAAAAATTGTAACCTATTATATATATTATGTTTATCTCTAAAATCAACATGAAATTAAAACCAACCCTATTTATTTGCATTCCTAGTCTTCTTGCAAAAATATTTGCCTCTGTAATCTTCTGTTCAAATGTAATAACTAGTCTCACCCTAGAAACAATTTTCTTTTCGGCTGACTTCACCAATCCCTCTTTCTTTTTAGCCCCTCCTCTCCTACGACCTGGAATGCCCACTTTTCACAATGCAATCTTCTTGATGGATTTCCTGATTCTTTAATGTTGTTTCATGCTGACTTCTATAGGCTGTATCTAGATGTTGTTTTTTAGAGCTACTAAACTGGTCAGACCACAAAGGCTGTGGCTGCCCAGCATTCTCTCTCTCTCTTTCCCAGAAGGCCTTTCAGTCGTAACCTTAGCTGCTTCTCAAAACAAAGGAACTGGTTGCCAGTGACTACAGGCCCATGGTTACTGCAGATATATGGGAGCTGCATTGATATTTAGAGAACAAGATCATTTAACTGTTGGTAGATCCTGCCAACTATGGCAGAATGTTAGATCCTGCTAATCTGTAGTCAGCAGAGTCTAAGAGGCTGGATATTAACATTTGTCCCTTTTTTCGCCCCCCCTTTAGGGTTCCTGAGGCACAACTCAAGAGTATTCTGTGGCAAACTCTACAGGCCGTGAACTTCTGTCACAAACACAATGTCAGTATGTCCAGCCTCTCTTTTCCCGTCTACCAGTGTGTCACTTATGACTGCTACAGACAACTGTGAAAAGTCTCACTATTGAAGAAGCTCATTTTTGGAATGAGGAGGAGACAGCTAACAATAAAAAAATGTCTTGGAATACGTTTGTTAAAATCTCATGACCTACAGCAGGAGTCACTGAATTAATGACTACGTTTACATGCACCCTCATAATGCGAATATAATGAGATTTAGGCAGTATTGCTATTAAACGTTACCAATATTTCGATCAAACTGATGCAATTAAGCTCATAATCACAGTAACCATAATTGAAATAAAATATGTGGTGTATGCCGATTTCAATCAGAATAAACAGACATATAAACATTTTAATCGCATATTCCACCAAAGTGCACCAAAGACCAAAGTACACATATGCTCATAAAAGGATGATGTGCATTGTTCATGCAACTTCAAAAATGAACTTCATTAAAAATTCTCAAGTTTTTCCTCCACTTGAATTACTGAACTCTATCAACAACTCTCTGCTGTAAGGTCCACCCAATTGGCCCAACAAAGGTATCCAATGGTGGCTTAAGGTTTCCCGCATATTCTGTCATTTCAGTGCACAAAGTAATTTAATTTCAATTAAATTCTAATCTGACTCCATTTTATTTTGACCTCGAATTTAGGTTAGAATGCCAATTATGATTGATCATTCATAGGATAATTTGTCTAGACATCTGATTATTCTATTTAACTCTTTAATCTTATTAATCTTATTCGTATAACACTTTGAGTCTCGTGGTAGTAGTCGCGATTTACTACCAATCACGGAACCGGCTTTACTGACGAGATGCGCATGACAATCGCATGCGATAAATTGCACAGCCCTAATCTGGGTATTTTTTGCCTACTATGTTATGAATACTGCAAATTTGGACACGAGGAATGACTTTTATTGAGCTCTTTTTGTGCTAGATTCTTGCCAGATCGGTTCTATTGCCTGTGTTAAGATTATTTTTTTAGAAAGAAGATGTCTTTTAAAAATCCCTACCTTATTATAGTGGGAGTTTTGTGTATGTATCTCTGACAGTGTCGGTCTTTGTGTGTGTATACCAGTGTATCCATCGGGACGTCAAACCGGAGAACATTCTTCTGACCAAGACCGGTGTGATCAAACTATGTGATTTTGGCTTTGCTCGCATCCTCAGTAAGTGTCTTTGCCCCACTCACTCACTCTCTAGCCATTTATGTGCATTTAGCATCTTCACTTCATTAATGACTTATTTATACTTCCTACCTATATCAGCTGTCATGTGTCCTGAGCTCACTTTCAGGGCAGCGTGAAGCCTCACAGGTGCAGTCAGCCAGTCAGGATCTGCTTACATGCATCATCCTTGGGTTTCAGCGTATTGTTACTATAGGTTAACACAAGGTTTATCCATCAGCATGTTGTAATCCTTTCTGTATGATGTACATGTAATTCTGAATCTATGTGTGTGTAGCTACTAATCCATGTTTTGTGGACACATTTGTATCCAGACGGGAACTAAACATGTCAAAACCTCCTTTTGAGCATGTCCTCATTTGTAAAAATGGGATAAAGTAAATAAAGTTGTAAAAATGCAGAAAGTTTTCTGTTAGGGTTAGGATGTAGGTTAGGGTTATAGTATTTATAAGTAACTGCATATAAAAACAACATAATTCTATGGAAGGTCCCCATTTAGATAGCTAAGTAAAAAAGTGTGTATTTTTTGTATTAGACTTGTGCCGGTATTCGGTAATGCGATATATCACAATAATGAATATGCACGATATTGTTATCGTGGGCACTTCAAAATACCGAGAATAATTAGTTATTACAAATTATACAGAATTTTGAATGCATTTTAGGAATACTTTTCCCATTAGCTGGTCACAATGCACAACACCGCTGTATGCTGCGTGAAAGACGCGTGCGCACTCTGATGTAAACAAGCGCGGACGAGAAGCACATGGCGGAACATGTGAGAGACGCTCTGGATGAAAGCGCACTTTCACTCTCTGACAGCAGATGGCGCTAAACTGCAGAAAATGCAGCCGTAACCCCATAAATAAAGCAGCTGCGCTACTTTCTAAAACATATTTAAATGATTTAAATAGCCATTCAGATTTGTGTATTTGCTATGATGTTCATCACAGCGCCAAATACTTAAATATTTAGACTTAATAGGCTATTTATTTTCAGACTTTTTTTTACGTTTTAATCTGGACTACAACATGCCCTAGATATTGTTTGAAAGTGTTTTGATTCTTTATTGTTCGGTCACACTTTACATTAGGGCTTCATTAGTTAACATTAGTTAATAAAAGCATGAGCAATTAATCGCAACATGAAAATTTGATACCGGCATATCCCTAATTTGTATATGTGTTTTGTGTGTGTGTGTGTGCATGAAACAGCTGGTCCAGGTGATGATTACACTGATTATGTGGCAACACGATGGTACCGGGCCCCAGAACTCTTGGTCGGAGATACTCAGTATGGTCCCCCAGTGGATGTCTGGGCCCTCGGTTGTGTCTTTGCCGAGCTGCTTTCTGGAAATCCTCTTTGGCCGGGACGTTCTGACGTGGATCAGCTGCACCTCATACGACAAACCCTGGGTACTAAAATTGAAAGAAAGGAGGAAGTTTGTTCACTGAAGGTTAAAGGTGACCCATTATGCCCCTTTTTACAAGATGTGAAATACGTTTCTGATGTCCCCAGAGTGTGTATGTGAAGTTTTAGCTCAAAATACCCCACAGATAATTTGCCACTTTTAGGGTATGAGCCAAAACCAAGCGGCAACCTTCCGGTCTCTCTCTTGAAACCAACATGGAAATTCATCGACTGGCCGCTAGAGACTGGCTCCAAAAGGGAGTCAGTCCCATAGACTCTCCATGTTAAAATGACCAACTTTACAGCAGAAAAAAATATGTTTACAGCCTGGTACAAAAAGTGGTTTTGGGCTATATAGCTAATTTTGCCCTTCGTGACAACTGTGAAGGGGGTGAATTTTTTAATAAATCATCCATTTAAATTATAGTAAGCCTTAAAGTTCTGCATAATTAAGGGCGTGGCCACTTGAATGACAGGTGGATTGCCACTGCTGTCACAACCGTCGAGCTAGGTGGGCGTGGTTTCAGCAACCAGCTCCACCCACGTCCCGCCTTTTTGCCCATTTTCGATTATCCAGGAGTGACGCGCAGCCAAGATGGCAATGGCCGTCTCTGTGCAATTTGAGCTTCAAAAATGCTCTTCAGAAACCTACGTGTGACGTCACGGAGACTACATCCATGGTTTTCTACAGTCTATGGCCAAAACGTGCCATTTTTGTGTTTGTCCCTTTAAATGCAAATGAGCTGGTGCTCCCGCCTCCCTTTTCAGAAGAGGGCGGAGCTTCAAGATCTCATGCTCCGGCATACAGGCAACAATAAAACAGGACAATATCATGCATTCTGACTGTACTGTGCAGTAAATGCACGTTTAAGAATTACACAGACGGGGAGCATGGCGAGATAAATATAACAACATAGCTGGCCTCTTGGTGCCTTGCTATCACATTATGAGCTCGACAAATCCAAGCGATCGACTTCACATTGCTTTCATATGCAATTTTTAACTACCACATTCCTATTTACGATCATTCTGGTAGCACGTGAAGGCAGCATCAGTGAAAACAGGCAGAGACAATGGTAGCTTTAGCAGCATTAGCCTTACAGAGAGCCAAGAAGCTCTTTTAGAAAACAAAATATGATGATGCTTACTTTGTCTGGAGCTGACATTCGCGCATGAAGCGTTGGTATCGATCCCTCTTTCAGAAGCAATCTTTGCACGCTGTATCCCAACACACGACACTTATAATGCATCTTTGGCGCTGACATTGTACCTCCAGCAGCTACTACAAGAAAACAGTAATGGCGGACTGGTGCTTCTCACTCAGGGCTGGGTCTATGCTAATAGGGCAGAGATCGTCACAAAGGGGTGGGACTTTCCCCAAGTATGACATGTATATAGTGAGAAATCTGGAATCGCTCATTTGGAGAGGCTGTTTATGATTTACTGGGATTATAAAAAAACAAGTGGGTGGATTTTTACCATTATAGGCTGGTTGTTTTCACACACTGCGGCCACACAACTGTGATCAAACACCTTATAAAAGTGATTTTTGCATAATAGGTCACCTTTAAATACAAAAGGTTCCAAAAGTCTGAGACCACGTAAAATGTGGAATTTAAAATCCAGTTTATACCTGGAAATGTACATTTTTTTTTAAGATTTAGAAACATTTCAAACAAATAGTTTTTATCATTTTACTTTAGTTGTAGAAATATTAGGAACTTTCCTGTTTATATATAGTACTGTTATCAGTAGTAATCAATACAAAATGGCTTTTCCTGACATTTAACTGTGATAATGTTATTGTAAAACTGAATCATATCTTGAAAGAAAAAAGGCAGATAATAATAATATTAATAATAATTCTAAAATGTGTATTAGCCATTGAACTTTCACCACTTTAAGAGCCTATTTCATTTCAGTTATTTTTTTCTCATAAAAAAAGGGTTACACACTGACTCTTAACCTTTGAACTTTGACCCCGATAGGTGACTTGATCCCACGGCATCAGCAGGTGTTTCACTCCAATGTCTTCTTTAGTGGCGTCAGCATCCCTGAGCCTGATACCATGGTAGCACAAATACACACCTACTTGTAAAAAAAAAAAAAAATCATTGTGGAATGTAAATTTGATTTTGATGTTGTTGCTGTTGTTGTAGGAGCCGCTAGAGAAGAGGTTCCATGGTGTTTCTCCTCATGCTATTACTGTGATGAAGGTGAGATGTCAATACAGGCTTATAAGCCTCACATGCCACTTTTCCACAGACGGGGTCAGTGATCATTTTCACCTCTGCCAAAGCTCGCATCTAGATTTAAACATGGTGTTCTCACAATGCTGTCAAACAGTAGAGCACAGCACTAGCAACGACTATATCAGGAAATCGATTCCCAAGGAATGTACTGTATGAACTGATAAAATGCATACCTTGAATGCAGTCTGTTTGAATAAAAAGCATCTGCCGAATGTATATGTGTGATAATATCCTCACTAAGGACAGCTCCCAAAACCAAGACCGAAGCATACAAAATCTAAACACCAACGGCTCATGTAAACGATACAGTGAAACATGGATATGTCTCTTTTCAAATATATATATTTTTTTATATATGGAGCACAAAAGCAGTCGCTGGGGTATATTTGTAGCAATAACCAACAATACACTGTATGGGTCACACAAAGCTTATTTATTCAGCTTTCAGATAATGTATAAATCTCAATTTTGAAAAATTGACCCTTATGACTGGTTTTGTGGTCCAGGGTCACATATGAGACTTTAATGTATTATGATAAAAGAGACGAATAAAGTCTCTTTATTTTAACTGGACAGCAGTACTTTCAATCATGTCTAGCAACTAGATGTTTTCAATATCATTGAGATAAAAATTAAGTTTACATTTAATGATCTATAGGCCTTTTGGAGATTTCTTTACAAATGGATTCTATTAAACTCTAATAAGCTAAAAATAATGTATATGCATTTTAATTACAGATTCTATGAGTCCTAAAAAGATCAATTATCCTATGGCTCCTTCTGATGGACAACATTAGTATTCATATAAATGACTTTGATATAAATTCTATAAATGGCTGATCTTTTAAAAGTCCCCCAAGCATCAGAATTTGTTACATTTGGCATGTTTCCTCAGAACTTCCTGTTGTCCCTGCATACCAAGATTTGTGAAGTTTTGACGTTGCATTCACAACAATAAGTAATTATGGGCCAATATATTTGCTAATATATCTACAGTGATTAATCAAATCAAAATTCTTTTGAAAAAAAAAATGTTTCCATCTATAAAATGTTCTTTTTCGAACATTTTATAGATGGAAATCAGAGATACACATTTTGTTGGGCTTGACTCAATGATTTAGACAATTACAGTTCCAGAAATATGAGCTAAAAAGCAAATTACTTTATCATAGTGCCACATAGTGGCATGGATGTTTGTGGGTGTGCCTGAGCAGTGGAATTTCTGACCATCCCACCAGGTTTCGTGTCTCTAGTAGAGGCGTATAGTAACAAAGTACAGGTAGACTTGCAAATCTTTACCCGAGGAAGGCTTCACACGAGGGCTGGTGCTTTCGGAATCCAGTTAAATATACGGCTGATCAAAGCTTGAATGAATTTATAATTAGAAAACCAAAAGCCTGTAGCATGTGAATAGCTCAAATCAAAACTACAGCAGTACAGTTCAGCACTTAAGCACAATAGATATAACGAGCAATATAAATAGCAAATAGCTTCTTCTTACCGAAAGCCATTTTTTAAATTACAAACAAATGAGAAATTCAAATAAATAGTAGAACAAATAAATCCTTTCTAGCAGAAAATATTAATGTAAACAACTGTCTGACTAATCAATTCTGTTAGTCAGTGGAAAAGCAATTAGTCAGATAAGTCAATAATAAAACAATCACATAAGCGCTTGTTTTATTAATTTTAGCACAGCAGTAAGTGTGTATTTATAGATATTTTATGCTATATATTTCCTTAAAAGGGTCTTGTATCATGTCTTGAAACTTGGCATGATAACTTGACTTGATTTAATGATTTTAGTATTATTGGGATCAGTGCTTGAAGTGGAAAAAAAAAAAGTGCCGGTACTCAACCTTTATTTATTTATTTTTATTTTTTATATTAAATAAGTACTTTTTAATTTTCATAATTCCCAATGTAGGCTATGTGTAGTGCCACAATCAATAATTAAATAAATGTTTTCCAAATAAGCACAAGTCAAGCTGCGATACCAAACAGGACCACAGGGAGACGCCAAAGACCACTAAACCTCCTGCCTTGACCTGACTGGATACATTCAGAATCGCTAAACTTCTTACCACCGCATAACACCTCAGCCAGCCAGCGTCCATTATAAAACATTCTTGCTTTTAAGCCAAATAAACAATGAAAAGAATAATGTACTGACATCTGGACGTGAGTCACTATTATCTCCACAATCTCTGATGAAATCGGCCGTGTTTTCTCTGCATTAGCGCTGTTTTGTACAACTGTTCGAATTCGCTTACTGGATCCTCCTTGGAGTTTATCGGTTTACATTAATGATCGCAAAAACTTGCTTCTTTTCATTTTTAAGGTATTGTTTTCGTTATAATGTACTGATTCAAATTAGTAATTCATTATTATTCTACTTCTCTTGACATGCTCTTGCACCTCACACAGTTTGGCTGAAAGGATAACAGTAGCCTATACTGAAACAGGACAGCGCCCAAACATCCTCACATTATATTATTTCGTGGAAAATTAATATAAATTCTCCATCTTTCTAAAGAAGTTGACGCAAACATATGGGTTTATCAATGTTTTTCTATTGTGTTATACGTGTATGCCTTTGGACTTAAATGAACTGAGTTGTTTTATGCATTTTTGTGATTACAAATAAATGGAGCAGCCGTGACTGAACAAGTATGTGTTTTCTCATTTTATGTGAAATAATTAAACACATTAGTTGTGTGCTGTTTCTTATGTCTAGCAGTGTTTCTTTTCCGCCTCCTACAGGACATTTAAGGTACTACACTTTATTTTGCCGTTTACTTTCGATTTCTCTCAGGGAACGCAGTCAAGGTGCGGCAGCTGTTAAATGTAGAGAGTGTAACAGTGATCGCCAAATCTCTGCAATGCACCCAGGGCCTGCTCCATGGGCAGTGGGATTTCCAGTAACACAGCAAGAGCAAGGCGGGGAGCCTGAAGGTGATGTATCATCTGAGGTTACTTCTAAGTGCACAGAAATCTGTGGCAAAGCTCCCAGACCTAGATCATGCTCGAAAATCTGTTTGGTTGATGTTTACCCATCTAACTCCCCTGAAAAGGCTAAGAGGATGTATGTAGTTCTGGATGACCAGAGTAACCGGTCTCTAGCAAGGTCTGACTTTTTCGAGCTGTTTGGAATCAATGGAGATTCTTTCCCCTATACTCTTCGTACATGTGCAGGTACAACAAAGACAATGGGAAGAAGAGCAGACAATTTCATTGTTAGTTCACTGGATGGGAAAACTCAAGTGTCACTTCCCACACTCTTAGAATGCAATATGTTGCCTGAAGATCGTGACGAAATTCCTACACCTGGAATAGCACAATACTTTTCTCATCTCAAGCCAATGGCTGACAAAATACCACCTTATGATGCAAGCGCTTCCATTCTTCTTCTTTTTGGAAGGGACATTCTAAGTGTGCATAAGGTTCGAGAACAGTATAATGGACCTGGTAACATGCCATATGCTCAGCGTCTTGACTTAGGCTGGGTCATTGTGGGAGAAGTGTGTATGGGAGGAGTACACAAGTCAGAGACTGCAAATGTTTTCAGAACAAACATACTGCAAAATGGACGCACATCATTTTTCTCACCCTGCTAGCCTTTGCTCAAGCTACGCAATTGGTCAGAACAGAATAAGTTGGATTTAGCATCACTGATGCGCACTTCAGACACAAAGTAATAAACTACTGTCACTGTAACTTTTTTAATCGTAAATCATTGGTAAAATATCGATGCTGGAGACTTTTTAAAACTTTATAAGGACGAAACTTCTGTCAAGTTCGTTTTGCGATAGTTTTCATTCATTTTCCCCTCGCTGGTGAAATGATGCTGTGTGCCGTTTGTTTCAGAAAGGCATGTTAAGGGCGGGTTTTTAGAGTAGCGCTGGTCCGACAGTGGAAACGAAGCATTGGCCCCGCCCGGCTCGTTAGTCCTGGCTCGCACTGGCCAGACAGTGGAAAAGCGACAACCCCTGCGGTAGTCAGACCGACTCCGATTGCATTCATTAACACGATTTGTCGAGATGAGAGGTGACCCCTACTGGTACTGTGATTTATATACTGTTATTTCACCAGACACTGACGCTTTGACTCTGAGTTCCGGCAACATGTCAGAAGTGCCGGTACACACAAAAAAGTGCCAGTACGCTAAAGACTAAAATACAGAAGTGCCGGTACTGCGTACCGGTGCGTACCGGCCCACTTCAAGCACTGATTGGGATGTATAAAATTTTAACATTTAATGGTCTATAATCATTTTACAGATTTATTTGTAACAAATTGTCAGTTCACTGTAGTTATACAAAAATAAAACAAAAAATGGTTCTGTGCATTTATTTCCATTCAAAGTGGTGGAAATGGATAGAAAAGATTACTTTTGAAAGATTTCTTATCCTGTCCTAGTGGGAAAAATTCTTACCTAATGTAGTAATGCAGCTTTCATCTTACATTTGGAATAGCTGATAGTTTAGAATTTGCTGTTAGACCCCCCAGCATCAAATCATGGAACTAAGCATGTTTCCTCATAATGACTTTTCTCCATACGTAACAAATGTTTGAGATGTTTGTACTTTGTGCACAGAAGATATAGGTACTCTGCAGATCTCCAGGAACAGGATTGGGGTCCCCTGTGATTTAACATTATTATCCACTGAAGTATGATTGGCTGCTTTTTATGTCAAAAGTTATAAGCTTGTATGTTAATTTTTTACTACTAGGTGGTGCTGACAGAGATTTATCAGGCTCTTTTAGGACATGGTGATGATGGTGTCAAGTTTAGTAATGATATGCTAATGGCTTCATAAAATATAGCATTTTCAACAAAATTCAAAATGGTCGATGCCCAAAATGATCTAAGCGATGTATACAAAGTTTATATATAAACTTTGTATACATCGCTTAGATCATTTTAATATATAATATATATTTACATTTACATTTAATATATATATATATTGAAAAATAATGTATTACTATTATATCAAAACCATCTCTTTATGGAAATAAGATGCTAAATAAAATGCTAAAAAATAAGATTTTAAAACTGTAGTCCATAAAAGACTACAATGCATTATTTGTATGTATAGGCTAGATGTGTAGTAATATAGGTGGCTGTCGTACACAAGGTCTGAAGAAATATATATGTTTGTGTTTGTGTGTTCATGTCTTTATAGTCCTGCCTAGTTATGGATCCATCTGGCAGGTTGTCATGTGAAGAGCTTTTAGAGCTGCCATACTTCCAGGAGGATGGGGGAACGGGATGGGGCAGAGAAACTGATCGCCTCCCAAGACGTTATGAGAAAGGCACAAGACGCAGAGCTCCCGCGGTATGAATCTACATTGAACAAAAAATAATGTTAATAGCAAGTAATGGAAAATCAATTCTGAGACTCGAGTTTAAGTCACACACTTAAGTCACACAAATTGACTTGTATTTCAAATTAGGGACTCAATGCAAGTCTTCGGGTTTAGAAGGAGAAACATTTCCTCACGTATCACAAACACTTAAGATAAAAGAAAATCTAACATGACACCCCTTTTTCTATGAGAATGTGTGGTCATGATCACAATAAACTGGTTTAATGTTCTAAGGTTTAAAGACGTTGATAATCAGGCAAGTACAGCACAAAACTAAGGGCCAGATTTACTAAAAGCTTGCACCAGCTCAAACCTTCTTTTAACATTACATTTTTTTTTTTTTAACTACTGTCAGGACTACTGAAGACATGCAGTGAAAAATTAGCAATGAAAAGGCATAGACATAGTTATTTTTGTGTCTGACCTTATTGCATATGCATTTGTAGAAGTTTATCTTTTTAAGATGCTAAATTTATGGGAGGAGAATATTTAAAATAACTTTTAAGGGAGCTGAAGGGTTGGAAGGCCGAGGTGGAGTCCATAGCTCGGAGGCCTGAAATGGAGCCAGGGGATTTCCAGGGCAGAGCTGGAGTCCGGAAGGTCCTGGGCTGCTTTTGGTGCTTGAATTTGTGCTTCAATAATGAGTTCTAAGTTTAAGAATACGTTAGAATATAAAATGTGAAAAATGTGTATTTTTTTCTCTATTTAACACTAACTTTCAATAGTGAAAGACTTCTTCCCTCAGATAGATTGCATGTTTTCTTGTCTAGCTGGATGTTGTACTCATGATCAATAATCACGTTGTTTGTATTCGCCCAAACTGATTTGCCGAAATCAAAACGCGGACGGTGAAGGGAACTGCCATTAGCGCGAGTACCGTTCGCTATGAAGTGGGAGCAACCAGCCGCCAGAGGATTCCGCTTGGTCTTAAAGCCTTCCTCAAAAGGCTATGTTTGCAAATTAAACAATGATTTGCGCAAAAAGAATGATTACTTATCAATTGAGAATTTGTTATTCGTATAGTCTGGTTGTCATACGGTGTATGCTTTTTAGCATTTTATTTAGCATCTTATTTCCATAAAGAGATGGTTTTGATATAATAGTAATACATTATTTTTCAATATATATATATATTAAATGTAAATGTAAATATATATTATATATTAAAATGATCTAAGCGATGTATACAAAGTTTATATATAAACTTTGTATACATCGCTTAGATCATTTTAATATATAATATATATTTACATTTACATTTAATATATATATATATTGAAAAATAATGTATTACTATTATATCAAAACCATCTCTTTATGGAAATAAGATGCTAAATAAAATGCTAAAAAATAAGATTTTAAAACTGTAGTCCATAAAAGACTACAATGCATTATTTGTATGTATAGGCTAGATGTGTAGTAATATAGGTGGCTGTCGTACACAAGGTCTGAAGAAATATATATGTTTGTGTTTGTGTGTTCATGTCTTTATAGTCCTGCCTAGTTATGGATCCATCTGGCAGGTTGTCATGTGAAGAGCTTTTAGAGCTGCCATACTTCCAGGAGGATGGGGGAACGGGATGGGGCAGAGAAACTGATCGCCTCCCAAGACGTTATGAGAAAGGCACAAGACGCAGAGCTCCCGCGGTATGAATCTACATTGAACAAAAAATAATGTTAATAGCAAGTAATGGAAAATCAATTCTGAGACTCGAGTTTAAGTCACACACTTAAGTCACACAAATTGACTTGTATTCCAAATTAGGGACTCAATGCAAGTCTTCGGGTTTAGAAGGAGAAACATTTCCTCACGTATCACAAACACTTAAGATAAAAGAAAATCTAACATGACACCCCTTTTTCTATGAGAATGTGTGGTCATGATCACAATAAACTGGTTTAATGTTCTAAGGTTTAAAGACGTTGATAATCAGGCAAGTACAGCACAAAACTAAGGGCCAGATTTACTAAAAGCTTGCACCAGCTCAAACCTTCTTTTAACATTACATTTTTTTTTTTTTAACTACTGTCAGGACTACTGAAGACATGCAGTGAAAAATTAGCAATGAAAAGGCATAGACATAGTTATTTTTGTGTCTGACCTTATTGCATATGCATTTGTAGAAGTTTATCTTTTTAAGATGCTAAATTTATGGGAGGAGAATATTTAAAATAACTTTTAAGGGAGCTGAAGGGTTGGAAGGCCGAGGTGGAGTCCATAGCTCGGAGGCCTGAAATGGAGCCAGGGGATTTCCAGGGCAGAGCTGGAGTCCGGAAGGTCCTGGGCTGCTTTTGGTGCTTGAATTTGTGCTTCAATAATGAGTTCTAAGTTTAAGAATACGTTAGAATATAAAATGTGAAAAATGTGTATTTTTTTCTCTATTTAACACTAACTTTCAATAGTGAAAGACTTCTTCCCTCAGATAGATTGCATGTTTTCTTGTCTAGCTGGATGTTGTACTCATGATCAATAATCACGTTGTTTGTATTCGCCCAAACTGATTTGCCGAAATCAAAACGCGGACGGTGAAGGGAACTGCCATTAGCGCGAGTACCGTTCGCTATGAAGTGGGAGCAACCAGCCGCCAGAGGATTCCGCTTGGTCTTAAAGCCTTCCTCAAAAGGCTATGTTTGCAAATTAAACAATGATTTGCGCAAAAAGAATGATTACTTATCAATTGAGAATTTGTTATTCGTATAGTCTGGTTGTCATATGGCGTATGCCTGCAAATATGGGACAAACTGCATTCCGTATAGCTTTCATACAGAACGCTTCTTTGGTGCCTTACGTTAAATACGGGGCAATTCCATATCATACGGAACGGTTGGCAACCCTACCTGTTGTTGCCGGGCCAGGGGAGGGAGAAACATCCTCATCACGTGTAACGTTAGGTCATGTGTCCGGCTGTCCATCAAACCGAGTTTTTTTTTACTAAAGAAATTAAACAGGGAGCTCTGCTACTTATTGCTAGCCTAGCAATGTTTAGTCAGGATTCTCTTTATCAGAAAATGTGCGACAAACGTCTCCCAAGATGCTGAGGTCACACGTCACAGTCAGCGGCTGTTTGCGGATTGGTTGGCAGGCAGATATTTTTTTTAACGAAAATCATTTACAAATTTTTTATTAAGACTATAAAAAAAACAATTCTACATCTATTTTTAGGTGTGTCAGCTGCCACTGTGGGTGGCACCGGCACACCCTGACACACCCATGGCTACGCCATTGCTGCCGACTATAGTATCATTTTCACAGTGAAACGAGATCAAACATGACTTGCAAAGAAAAGCAAATGGAGGATGATCAACATCACCAGCTGGTTCTCTTGGCATGAGTTTTGTTTTACGGAAAGAAAAACAAAGGAGAAAAAATGATATAGATGAACATGTTTGAAAGATATTTGCGATCGGGGACGCTCTGACTCGATCGGGAGCAGTTAAATAATCGTAATGACATCACACAGTTGACAATTTATTTGGATGTTTGCATCAAGCCTCGAATCGGGCCGTGCTCCCTGATCGCTTGGGGGTGCAAATCGGGCTCAAATTTGGGCTCAAATTCGGGCTTAAAGGGTTAGTTCACCCAAAAATGAAAATTAGGTTGTGTTTTACTCACCCCAGAGCCATCCTAGGTGTATAAGACTTTCTTCTTTCAGACGAATCCAGTCGGAGTTATATTAAAAATTGTCTTTGATCTTTCAAGCTGTTTGATGCCACTCAGCGGGTGTTGCATGCATCAGTCCAAAAGAAGTTAAATAAAAAGCGCCCATCCATTAAAAATGTATATGGACATGTATAAATATGGACATGTCTTAAACATAAATGTATAAGACAAAAAAACAATGTCTTTGCTACTGATCTTCGATGATCCAATTCATCCATACTAAGCAAAAATGACATATTTGTGTTTCATTTTTGTTGTTGCTGAATAGTGTTAACTTTCTTCTCCTGCGTCATATTCTTCATGCAATTTGTTTGAGCTGCGCCCTCTACTG